TAACGCCCTTGGGAGCAGGCGCTGCCGAGAACTCTGTGCACTGCCTTCCTTCTGGCCGCAGGCGGGACGGCCGTCTGCCTTCTGAGTACGTGGAGGCGCCATGTTCTGAGTTAACTCTACAGTTGCGTAACAATATGCATGTACTCTAAAGTCACTGAATTTAAATGGTAAATTTTATATTATGTACGTTTTACTCCAGTTCTTTAAAAAAGCAAAAGGGAATTGCATGTACCTACTTTAAAAAATAAAAACAGAACATCGTTAGTGCCACGCATGGGTAGGCCGTGTTCATCTAGCTCCCCCAAATTCTACTCTTTTCTTTCTTGAATTTTTATTTATTTATTTTTTCTATTCTTATCTTAAAATGATGTTTTGATCCACCTCTGGACCAAGAGAGGGTACAACCCTGAATTCCTCAGCCTTGTTTCTGGGTTCCACGGCATGCTTCACTGTGCTGGATGGGTTCATCACGTAAGCTCCTCCATGCTTTAGGTGTTAAGACACCCAGACTAAGGGTGGTAGCTTTTACAAATAATATTTTCAGAAGGACTGGACACAGAGAAGTTTGCTGAGCTGCTGCAGGCCAAAGCTATAAGCTGAAACCTGCCCACTGGAGGACTGGCAAAACACAAGGTGACCTCACTGGGAGCCCAAGGGGCAGAAGCCACCTTCAGGGAAAGTTTCCAGTGGGAACATCTCATGGAGTTCCCATGGCACTCACCAGGAAGTTGCCTCTGGGGTGATGCTGAACTCACTGGAGGTGATCTCCACTGGCGTTCCACCTGATGGCTGAGCCCTGTGGGAATGAGGCCACGCGCACACGCCGAGCAGCCTCTGCCTCCTGCAGAGCACCCTCTACTGACGGAGGCTGACATGGCGCCAGCTGGCAAAGGGGGAAGGTCAGGAGGGTCCAGCTCCAAGTTCACATGCAGTGCACTCGAGGGTGGATTTGGAGCTGAGGTGCAGTAACTTGATAACTGGCAAAGGGACAAAATCTTAATGGCTGCGAATCTGGGCAAAGGTACTCGAAAGTTCTTTGTACTAATCTTGAGCTCTTCTGTATGTTTGGAATTGTTCTTAAGTTTAAAAACTTAAATAAAAGAACGCTTTTAGCTGAAACTGGACAAAAGACTTTGGGGAAGGTGATTTCTTTGACTTCCGAAACTGCATTGGACTCTACAAGAGAATTTGCTTTTGGACTCTGATGCTTTTGGACTTTAAGAGATTTTGATTTCTTTGAGTTTTTAGCTCCCAAGGGCATCGCAATTTGATTTCAGACTACTTCCTTTAAACTTCAATTTGCAAGGAGATCGAATTTTAATATTTCTCCCTGGGAAATTTGCAATGGAGGGAGTTTGTATGCAATATAAGGTTTCTTCTCGTTGGCCTTTTACTATTGGACTATCTTTATGCTGACTCTTGATCTCATTGCAAAATCTCTGAAGAGCTATATTGGACATGGCTTGATAGCATTTGGGGTGGGAAATGGGAAGAGAGAGACCTTGAGATTAATTAACGTTCTGATCTAACCCATTCCAAAACCTCTTGGCAGAAAACTTTATACTGCCCAACAGCAGACCCAGGATGATTCAGACAGAAGCGTCTGGTGCCGAGCCAGCAGCTGGATGAAGCTGGGAGCGGGGCTGTTCCTCTAGAAGATTGATTGCCACCGCTGACCATGGACGTACGGTTAAATTCAGTGCATTATTAAAAGGTTAGGCAGTATTGGGAGAATCACTTATTCCCTACTCTGGTTTCCATGTGGAGAACTTCCACCTCAGTAACACCCCTGGCCTCCCTCCATTCTCTTGCTTACCAACTCCAGGGAAGCGTGAGCAAGTTACATGTTGGGCAATTTGTCCAAAGGGCACTGGCATGGATTTGGGACCTGCTGGCCTTCCGAGAGTGTTTGGGGTGCTGTGCTCCTTCGCTTTACAGGGCTGGCCCTGGTGTCCAATACTGCATGTGGTAGGGGGCCAAGACCACCTACTCAGGAGTGAAGTATCAGCAGGCCAACTTGATCGACCAACACAAAACCACCTCTTCCGACAACTTTAATCAAGCCGATACGTTCATGTGCACATGCCTCTGCCTCTCGGTCTACTTCTTCATCGGTTCCGAACTTGAGCGCGAGAAAAGAAGTGCTATTTACTATCCCCCGAAACCCAATTCATCCTTCGATTATCTTCATCTTTTTAATGTTATTGTCTACATTAGGGCTGTCCAATAGAACCATAATGCGAGCCCCATATATAATTCGTCCAAAATGTTACCGTTTCACATGTGACCAATTAAAATTATTAAAATTATTAATTCGATATTAAATATATTTTTTCATACTAGGTCTTTGAAATCTAGTGTATATTTTACACTGACAGCACATCTTAAATTGGACTTGCCACATTTCAAATGCTCAACAGCCACAAGGCTCGTGGCTACCATATTGAACGGTACTGGTCTGTGTGACCTTACCTATCAGCGAAAGGAAGCCTAGTTTTCCATTGTGGTTTTGTGTAGCTGAATTATAACTATGAATTAAGAATATTTCTCCCTTCCTTCCCCTCACCCCACCATGCACCTCATTTTCTCGAGAGACTAAGAGAGGGTTCAAATTGCTTTCTAATCTACTTTCCCCCGGGTTGCTATTTCTTTGAATGTAGCTTTGTGCATTGACTGAAACACGATGCCCTTCGGGTTTTCTTTTGATTGAAAGTTAGATTTTAGATCCAAGAGAGTATGATTTATAGGCGATAACAGCTTGCACTTGGTCACAAATTTAAGGGCCACCTGGTGAAGCTGGACCAGGATGAGCCAGAATGATACATAAAGGTGCCTGGAGACCACCCATAGCTAGTCAGATGCTAATGGATCTGGGTAAGTGAGGGTTCTCAACCTTAACTGGAGTCTGTCCCCACTTCCCCAGCAATCCTGGGGTTCAGCTTGATGATTGAGATCCCTAATTTACTTCTAGTAAGGGAGGGCAGATCATGAGCCACACTGTTGATCATCTGCTTGCTGCAGTTGGCAGAACAAATTCAATGGCCACTTTGGAAGGCTTAACATTTGGAAAAGCCTTGAACTTATGTTGGTTGTGGTATCAAGCGGCAGCTGAGAACTGATAGCTTCATTTTCATCGGGGCATGTGAATATGTACATCTTCCTCATCTTAATAAAATATAGATTACATCTCAGCACTGATGGGTTTCTCAGAACTCGTGGTCTGCCTCACCATGGTGGAGGAGCCCCATGAAGAACCCCACTCAACCCAAAAAAGAGAGGAGAACAGTGGTGGGTGGGGGTGGGGCCGGGATGCTCCGAACAGCATGGAGAATTAGTGGACTTTGCTTGGTGAGGAGCGCGAAGATTTCACTAGCAGGGAGATATAACGAGGTGAAGACATTTGATCACCAGATCTCCAGATGGTGTAGGAGGTGATGCTTCACAGTAGACCAGAGAGCAGCTTGGAGTCAAGGGCATGGCTGAGAGTGATGCAGGACGGGGTGACTCCCCTTGAGTGGGGCCTCAAGTCCTGCACTGAGAGAGAGCGTTCTTGACCGAGCGCAGGAAAGACATTAGCGCCCGCCAGAGTTAGAGACAAAAGGAAAGTTCACCAGAGAAGGAATAACGAACACTCCACAGACAGCGTGGTCTCCAGTCAGAGACAGAGAGTGAAAGAGGCTGAGAGGCATGGAGAGGGATCGAGAGAGCGAGACGGAGACCCCAAGTGTTCCGGGAATTTCGTTTATATGTGATGCTTAGTTTCTATGAATTACATGTTAAAGACTTCGTTTACCTGTCTTCCTTTGATGATGTGGGTCTGTAATGTGAAAGCATGGGTATGCCGTGAAAGGCATGCTTGCAATCCCAGCCTTTGCTCCATAGGCTCCCCGTGGCTTTGGCCGTGGGGGATGAATGGTTGGGTTTCTGTTGCATAGGGTACGACTTAAAGACTCGATTTTCCCTTCACTGTGTGGGCAAAGGGTTCGTTAGTCATCCGAGCAGCGATGTTCCTTTGTTCTGTAGGTTTCCTTGTGGTCTGCAAGGAGGGCTGATCGGCACATTGCAGACTCTGCATATAGCTCGATTTAATGTTGAGTTCCCATGCCTCCTCCCCGTGAGGAGGCAGAGGGCAGAATAGCCGCTTAGGCTGTGAGTCAGGAAGGGTGTCAAGGGGCCAGAGAGAGGGAGAAGAAGAGTCAGTTCCAGAGATTCTCCCCTCACGGAGGGGAGTCTGGGAACGAGAGAAGTCGGCGAAAAGGGAAGAATGAACTTTTCTCGCCTCCTTTGACATGGGCTCAAATGCTTTGTTAAGGATTTGAACTTCTGCCAAGGGTATTTTCTCCCAGACTTCTGTTTCTGTGAATGGGACACGACAAATCCGCACCCCGATGGAGTCGTGGCTTGCTTTCAGGTTACACGTGTGTCATGGCTGAAGAAATCAAAACTCATACATGGGACCAGACAAACAAGTGTCAGAGATGGGTTTCAAATCTCTGTTCTCTGATTCGTTCTTTTTTTTTTTTTTCCTTCCAGACATTCCAAAAATAAAAAAACAAACAAAAAAAACAACAAAAGTCCAAGCGTAATGATTATTTTGTGCCAGGCATTATTACTGGTAATGTTTATTCAGAACTTTAAGGATGCTCACACACTAGGAGAACAATACTAAATGTTTATCTACAGCTCTGCTCATGAAAAACCTAAAACAAGGAAATGCAAAAAACGCAATGGCCTGAGCATGGGATCACGACTATTTGAAACCCTTAGATCCGAACATTTATAAAGCAAAGGCCGTCAGAGCCGTAGTCCCAAATGCTAACAATGGCCCTCTTTCCTCTCCGTTTTTTAAATCTTTCCCACATCTCCCGTGATATGTCTGACCATTGTACTGTTGGAGGAAAAGACGCCTCCTTTTCCTTCCTAAGGTCCTTCTTTATTTTAGGTATCCCAGGTCAGGGACGCTATTGTGAGAAGAGAATTCTAGTAATGACACAACAAGCTTTTGGCACACAGATATTTATTTGACCACCATGTATAATGAGAAATTAGAAACGATCTAAATGTTTCTGGAAGGGGAGGGCCATCCGGGGCACTCGTTGTGGCTTTTCATGATCTATTTTCTCCATTCACAAGCCACATAGTTCCCTAGCAACCAGTGCAGGCAAAGGTATGTGACCCAGTCCTGAGGGATCAGAATGGGTCCCTGGGCTTTTGTCCCGCCCCTTTCCAGCGGGGAGGGGGTACACCTGGGGCTCCTGGGGCCTTACTTGCGGGCGGTGGAAACCTGTCTGAGAAACGAAAAGACAGGCCTGATGACATCATTTTTACCTTCTGGCTCTAGACACACCTGAAGCCCACCTGTACTCCTAAGCTTTTTAAGTACATGAGACAATAAGTTCCTTTTTCTGCATAAGCCACTTTGAGTCGGCTTTGAGAAAGAGTGATGACTAATATCTGTCTACTTAAAAGATTGTACATACAGTCAGGAGGATATTTTGCCACCTAAAAAACAGCATCTATCAAAACAGTGTAACGTCGAATGGTAGGAAACACTGCTAAGTGAAAACAGCGAGAGAGAAAGTTATAGATCTACAAGGCAAACGAGGGCATTGAGAATGAGAAAGAAAACTCAGTAGGTTGCAGAAAAAAATCCATTTTAGAATGTAGCTTGGAGGCAGGGGCCCCAGCAGGCAGTCTAAAGACGACTAGGTAAAGCCAGTACTTGAACACCCAAAGCAGGAAAAGCACAGGAAGAAAATCCCACACCAAAAGAGCAACAGTTGTCACCCTTGGTTAGTGCATTATTTCTTCCTCCCTATTTTTTCCTTTCCTGAATTAAAAAAAAAAAAATGTACATTTAATGTCAATGAACTACTTTCAGAATAGCAGCTAAAACAAAGCAAAACGACCAAAATGCGTATGTTTAAGATAGGGGAGCTCGAAGCCTGGAGAGTTCCTACAGGTTCTGGTGTCCTAAGGCGTTCCAAGAACAGGGTTGTGGGGACAACAGGGCCTCTCACCTTTCTAACGGAATCTGGTTGAGCAGGTTTCAGTGACATTCTTTTGTGGGCAAACAAAGGAGGATCTTACCAAGTGATTACTGCCCAGGTCGGGGAGGAAGAGAGCAGAGAAGCAACTGAAGATGCTGTAGAAGAGAGAACACAACATACCCTGTGAACGATAACACCCCTGGAGCCGCCATTCCAGGGGAACCGCCCTGCACGTCCCAGGCCTCAGATCTCGGGAATGTTGAAACAGGGCAAAATAATCTTTAGACGGGGCCTAAGCAAACTTACACCCCCAAAAACTGCTTACAGAGATAACAGTGATGCATGCAAGAGAGGGTGAATCCCCCCCAGTCGAGATTCAAGTTCGACAGAGAGGAGAGAGAGAGAGAGAGAGAGAGAGAGAGAGAGAGAGAGAGAGAGTGAGTTAGTTCTTTTCCGAGCTCAGGAAAGGATTCAAGCGCTTGCCAGAGTTAGAGTCAAAAGGAAAGCTTGTTAGAAAAGGGATAACACTCCATAGACACAGCGTGGTCTCCTCTCAGAGACAAAGAGTGAGAGAGCCTGAGAGGAACAGAGACACAGAGAGAAAAGACTGGGAGAAAAAAAGACAGACAGACAGACAGAAAAGACAAAGACCCCGAGTGTTCAGAGAATTCAGTTTATATGTCATTCTTAAGTTCCCATTTCCTTTGATATGGACATACTGTGAGGAAGGGGAAGAGTATTTAGCGTGAAAAGATAAGAATATGTCGAGTGAAAGTCCTGCTGGGGGTTCCTAGCCTTTAATCCATAGGTTCCCCATGGTTTTAGCCATAGGGTAT